ATTTTTATAATGCTGATGTTAACATTGATTTTGCCAACTGATAAACGCAGAAATATTCGATACCAAAATGGTCAGCTGTAATGATTTCTATTCAATAGATGAATCTAGACCACATATGATCGTCTCGACCAAATGTTTTTTTTAAGAATAACTCATCAATACTAGAATACAAGTAGAATATCTATCTACATATAGCTATGACAATAAGTATCGACGAGTACTATGTTATCAGAACAACTATAACAGATAATAAATTTCTTTTTTTCTGTCTTTATGAAAATCATGATCTCGATCAAATTGTTTCTCAAGGTCGTCAATTATTCAGTCAATGTGATGGACAAACTTCATTAAAAATAAATGAAATAACACATCGTATTCAACAACAATGGACAAATATTGAACAACGTTTACAAGAAATCATACGACCATCAAGAGAAATAGTTGATTATTGGAGACAATTTAACAGTTCATATGTTCATTTACTTGATCGACTTGGTGAACTTGAAGCTCGATGATATACAATTCAAAGAGAAGAATTTACATCAGATATAGAATCACTTTTAGACAAAACAAAAATAACTATATAAGAAATTCTTGCAGATATATCTCAACACAATCGTAACTACTAAAAAGCCTGATTATTGTTAATATTATAAGAGTTTCTTAAGAACAGTTTTTGGAAGTGAAATATTTGTCATATAAATATAGATTTTTTTCTTAAAAATTCTTCTATATAACCTAAGTAACTTGAATTGTTTTCTACTTTTTTGACTGCTGTTCTATTTTATTTTTAGGATTTTCAACAACGTCTTCAACAACTTGATAATGAAATAACAAGATTATATGAACGAGCTCAAAAATTAGGCAATCATTTACCTGCTATAGTTGCTAACAAAAATTGATAGACAATATTCTGTTATTAAAAATCAATATTTAGAATAATGTACGTTTCATGATAAACTTCAAAGTGATTATAATGAATTAAAACAACGTGAAAAAATCTATTTAGATTATTTAAATGAATTAATAGAAATAATTAATCAAATTCAAATTGATTATAAATCTCAACAATTAACTGATGAAAATGAAATAAATAATTTAAAACAACTTCATCAATTTCATAGATTACTTTTATCAAAACATGATTTAATTGAACATTTAAATTCAAATGAATTTATTTGATATTTTAAACGAGCTAAACATTTACATGAAATTATGATTGAATATAGACATACAATTGAATTAATTAAAAATCGTATAAAACAACTTGAAATAAATCAATATAATTTATTTAATTTTGATAAACGTTCTCAAAAATGGAATGATTATATACAAGCTCTTGAACTAAATTTAGCAATTATACAATTATATTTACACAGAAATTATCAAGGTTTATTAGAAATTGATATAAATTTAACAAATATAATTAAGGATTTTAATCAACGACAACAAGAATTAATAGAATTAATTAATGAAGGTAAACAATTAATTGAAGAAAATTTAATTATTGATCAACATACATTTACTAAACTTGAACAACGTTGACAATTAATTATAAAAACAATTTTAAATAAACAACAAGAAATAAAATATATTATTAAATTATGGTTATCATATCAAAATTATTTAGAAAGTATTATTATCGTTTACTTTAAAATAAATATGAATTTGAACAAGAACAATTACGATCACCAACAATTAATTTAATTAATCAAATTAAACAAGGAACTTATTTAAATTCATTACAAAATGAAGAATTAACAAAATTTATTAGAACAAAATTTATGAAATAAATTGACGACTTATAACATATTCTCATATTAAAACAAAAACAATATTAGAAAAAGAATCGAATGATTTACAAAGATCACCTAATGAAATTAATATTTATATTAAACAAAGATCTGAAACACTTATTACGGTAGTCAGTTTTATTTAATTCAATTGAATTTTTATTGATTTTAATTAATTCATTATATTTATATATCATTTTTCTTATCGAAATATTCTTCTATTCTAGTATCGAAGAAATCTTCGAAAGGAGAAGGTAATCAGTATAGATTAATGATCGCATCAATATTCGAGATTAGAAAATACAACAAAACAAAAAAAAAAAAGAAAACATCATTATCAATTATTTTGCTCATTTATTTTCAGTTCATATATATATTTCTTGATAGATAATATCAACGTTTGTGCATGTTTATTGATTTGCTCTTATTCTTCGATAGATGCATCATACTTCTTAACTTTAACATAGATTCTGCTCAATCTTTTATTCCTACTCATCTGCTTATCATAGGTTGTTTTTTTTAGATAGAAAGTTTTTCCAGTTAAAGAAGGAAAAAAAAAGAACAAATTTGAAAATTCCCTTTTTTGTTTTTTTCTTATATTTGTAATAAAATCATATTTTTTTTAAATTTTTGATAGTTATTGGTTCGTTATAATGAACTTGATCATGCATTGGATGATGTAAGTATTTCAATAAAATCAATTCGTACACTTCAACAACAACCAACAGATGAACTTAATCAATTTATTTTACAATGTCAAGTAAATAAAATTTCATGAATAATAAAAGTTAAAAATAATAAATAAATTTATTTAGAATAAAGATCGTGAACTTACACAAGATCGACATGAATTAGAACGTTTACGACAAAGAATAAGAGAAGTAATTCTATTTATATTATTGAAATATATATTATTTTTAAAAAAAAAATGTTAGATATCTCCTGAACTACATCCTGATGATATAGATCAATTAATGCAAAAATTAAAGTAATAAAACCAAAAAATTAATATTTTTATTATTCATCAATTCTTTCTTTTTTTTGTTCTAGTGTATTTGAAATTCAATGGACTGATGCTGAACGTATTATAAAAACATTAATTGATAATTTAACAAAAAAACGTTCAGAATATGATGATTTTGAAAATAAATCTAAACGTCTTATTGAATGGTTTGAACATTTTCTTAATACTGAAATCAATCATCGTATTGATGGTTTAACACTTGAAGCAAGTCTTCATATATTAAAAACTGAAATATGAAATTTAATTAGTGATAAACGACGATCTCTTAATGATTTAATTATAGCAGCACGTCTTTTACAAACAGATATAACTGATCAATTACAATTACAAACATTAAAACAACAAATTGATCGATTAGAACAACAGAAGAACATGTTGAAAAACGGTTTGTTTTATTCTCGTTTAAAAAACAAATATTAAAGTTTTCATTTTGTTATTGTTATTTTTCGAATTAAAAAGAGTGAAATAGTTCTTAAAATGTTTGATGATTTTGAACAAGGTTTAGAAAATCTTCGTTCATGGATGGATACTATTGAAACAAATTTACAAAAATCATTATCAATAAATACATTAAATTCAAATCAATTACGTGATCATCAACAATCTATTATTCTATGTAACAAAAAAGACTCTACCGGGTGTGATGATCACCTTTGAATTGAAAAGTCACCTATATCATTTTCTAGATCAGTTCGCAATGCATTCAATCGTATATAGAA